TTTTGAGACCGGCCGCACCGCGCTCAGCCAGTGAGCGCACCGGCCATCCCTATATAGGATCCAAACCCGCGGCGGGAGCGCTGCTGTGCTCCCAGTGCCGCACTCTCCCGAGTGCGCCACAGGCTCGGCCCTCAAATCTCCCCAATGTTAACATCCCACATAACTGATACATTTATCAAAACTAATAAATTAACATTGGTAAAAGAACACTAATCTGAATTATTCAAATTTCACCAGTTTTTCAAATGTCGTTTTTCTTTCTCCTTAGTCTCTTCCAATCTGTGACAGTTCCTCATTCATTCCTTGTCTTCCATGACCTTGAGATTTTTGAAGGGTACTGGTCAGGTACTTTGTAGAACATCCATCAAATGGGGTTTAATTACGTTTTCTCATGGTAAAGGCTGTGGATTTTTGTGAAAAATAACACAGAGATGATGCGTCCGCATATCAGGGATCACAGGACATCAATATGTCCCATTACTGATAATATTAATCTTGATCTCTTTTTGTGTGTGTGTGTGTGTGTGTGTGTGTGTGTGGCTGACCAGTATGGCGATCCGAACCCTTGACCTTGATGTTTTGATCTCTTGATTAAGCTGGTGTCTGCTAGGTTTCTTTGCTGTAAAGTCACTATCCAATCCTCTTAACATGCAGACACCCGTGGAAGGAGCACCAAATCCTTCCCCACTGAAGAGAGGCTACTGTGGAATGAGTTAGATCAGCGCTGAATTCAGCCAGTTCCAGTACCTGGAAGAAACAGAATTTGTGAAGTGGGGATGCCAGTACTCACTATGCTGAGGTTACTGGAGATAACGCATATAAGTGTTCAGCACAGTAACGTGGCACGTTTGGCTAAATGGCAGCGTGGTTTCACAAAGTTATTTCCTGCTAGGGAACTCTGAAATTTTAGTTGCCTGCGGGAGTAGAAAGGCTCTGGGAAGAAGGGTCCCCTTTTTAAGAGATGAGAAAATGACAAAGCACAGAGATGTTTAGTGGCTTCTCTAAGGTAACACGGGTGGGGCTGAATTCTCAGGCCAGCCGTGACCAATTCATTTCAGAGACTGCATGGAATATTCCCAAGGCGGTCGCTCTGAAGGCCCAGGGATGCCTGACTCCAGCCTCAACTCCGGACTTTAACGTGTTTTGAGCGCATTTTGGCTCCGGGCCTCTATCTGGGTACAAAGGGGGTCTCAGCAACCGCCCCCCTCGCCATCATACTGTCCCACCATCCTCCACCCAGGATTTCCAGTGCCACCTCGATTGAGAGTTGAAAACAGCTTCCAACACCAGGAACCAGCGTCTTTTCGGCACAGCTGGAGTTCGGAATTTTCCATAGCTTAAGTTCCCCTTCACTTCTCACTTTTGAGCAGCTGAGAGCAAATTCTTCACGAGCCCTGGGGGAGCTGACTAGCGTCAGCTCGTCCGCCCGCCCCCCTCGTCCGCCACCACGCCCCACCCTGGGTCCTGATAGGCTGCCGGAACTGTCCGTTTTGACTGGAAGCTGTGCGCAGGCGCAGAAAACCACGGGACTAGGCCGAGTGTCGGCGACGCGGAGCTGTGGGATCGGTCCGAGATGGTGAGTGTCCTCTCGGGGCTTGCGGCTGACGGTCGCCCACCGCCTCGCGCCGAGCCATCCATCCTCCGGGAAGGGTCTCAGAGTGTCCGGTGGGGAGTCCGCGGGGCTGGGCGGGGCCGGGGCCGGGCTCTATCTGACTGGAAGGCAGAACCCAGGCGGCGCGGGCCTCTGGA